TGCATACCTATAAATCGATTCGTCATCTTGGTTTGAGCTCAATAGTTCTTTTCTCGGATGATCGGTTTCGTTTTCTTTCTTTTTTTTTGGGGGGGGGGGGACAGATTATGAGCCAGTAACCACCCTCCCCAGCCCCCCAAACAACAATTGTTGACAAATACTGTGATGGCCTAAAAAAATGCCCTCAATTGTGTTACGTAGGGGAAAATGAGGTAAGTTGAGCCGCTTTTTGTTTTCGTAAGCTACAGGCTAACCTGATCATTTTTCTGCGTTTACGGGTTGGACGGACAGATTGGTGATTTGCGCATGTAATGGTGGCCAGAAATGTTTCATACCGCTTATTTTTGTACTGAAAAGGCTACGTCAAAAATCATCTTGCACGTTGCTCATCTTACCCCATGGGCGGGGTAAGCTGAGACACGTCGTGGGGAAAGTTGAGCATGGATAGAAAAAGCGAACCTTTTCTTTTCCCGGGCGCGGCGAAGAGTGGGCTCTTTTATTTACTCCATGGCATTAGATACTTATGGCAAAGTTTTTTTCCTCCATCAAAAAGTGACTGTTTTAAGCCTTCCAATAGCTCGTCAATTTTCTATCACGGAAGAAATCATTTTATCCTTCAGATAATCTGCAAATCACTTACAACTTGTGTAATCAACAAAGAAAAACAATTTGCTACCATTTTTATTCAGCAGAAACAAGCGCAGCTCAGTTTGGTTTTCGACAGCGGAGACAACAATGGCTTATCCGGCTCATCTTCCCCCAGGTGAAAATGGCTCATCTTGCCCCACCCATGGCCATTTTCGATTAATGACACCCGCTAAGGAAAATAACCATGCACCGCAGATAACAACCATCTCATTTTAAAGGCAAAACATGTCTTAGTTATCAGGGGCGATACCACATGTTACCGGGTGCTGAGCGTGAGAACGTTGCCGTCTCACGTGAAAGACTGCAGCATCGTAAGCGAACGGCACATGGAAGCTCAACTCAATTAGCGCCATAGGAGCTGAGAAACAAATGGTGGCTAAACTTGCCCCTTGGCTCATCTTACCTCACTCTCCCCTATTTGGGGCTCTCAACTTTGATTTGTTAAAATTGTTTGTCTGTTCGTTATAAAAGCTGTCAAATTTGCCGTATCATTAAACTTTTATTGAGTTTGTATTTCACACTTATCTAAAATGAACAATTTTGTCACTGGCTTCTTTTATGAATGGAATTGGATGGACGCATGAATGACGAATGAATAGCTCCATTTGAGCATCAGCTTAAATCAATCCTAAAATTTAATCTACCAGTCTGCAACGAAAAGGTTGAAAAACCAGTGCAAGTTAGGTGCAGTTTCTAATCTATGCCGTTTTTTTATTAAGTGTCTCATAGCTCCTTAATCTTGAGCCGCTTCTCTTACGATTCATTTTATGTGGTGCTTACATTGTTCAAGAAGTAGTATTCGAGCTCGTTGGTCTTAAAAACTGCTATCGAAGTAAATTTAAGTGTTTCGGGCTTCGGCACTTAAAAACCAATCGATATTTAACCCTCACCCACTTAGGCATTTCTTTTCAGCGTCTTATATGTAGCGGAGGGGCGTAGAAACCCTCAGCCATTCATGAATAGCCAGAGCTTCGCTGAAAAATAAAAAAGAGCGAGCTGCTCGTGACGAGAGAAATCCGATGATTTGAGGGCCCTGGTCATCGCTGACGAGAGAAAGCCAATTATTTTTATGTCCTGGTCAATGCTGAGATCCTAGGTCACTGGTTGACCTCCCAGATCAGGTTAATAACCCAAAAGCACGGAAAATTGGGTCCTGCTAGAATTTCTACAAGTGAAGTTTGCTGGGACTTGGCTTGCTTCTGACTAGTGGTGTCAGTTTCAGAAAATGTTTGTCCAATGTCCGTCCAATTTCCAATGCTTACGTCGATTGTCCGTCCAAAAATGTCCAAGCCAGCCATTTGTCCAAAGATGTCCGAAACCTACGCAATAGTTTACACTCAACACTGTTATTTAATTTGTTTTAAATGTACTATTACCAGAATATTTGTATGTTGGTGACCTTAAGCCCTAGTGTAAAGACGAAGAAACCAGACTGACCTCCAGATGATGTTGAAGACGATGCTGTAGTCGACGATGATGAGAAGAAGATGACGAAGAGAAGTTGTGCACCACAACTTCTCTTCGTCATCTTCTTCTCATCATCGTCGACTACAGCATCGTCTTCAACATCATCTGGAGGTCAGTCTGGTTTCTTCGTCTTTACACTATGGCTTAAGGTCACCAACATACAAATATTCAAGTAGAAACAATGCCCTACATCCAAGAGGCGTTCCGACAATTAAACAAGTACTATTACCAGCTTTAATGTGTTAATCATCTCAAAAGCTGAGCTTTCTATTCGCCAATCAGTGTTAAACACGATTGCTTTATAAAAATGCTGAGGTGTAGCAAGTGATTGTCCAAAGATGTCCAACGCCTGCCGTCATTGTCCAACCGAATTCCGAGTTGGACATTGGACAAAATCGGAATTCCGAAGATTCAAGTTCCGATTGACACCAGTACTTCTGACTCCGAATTTGCACTTGCTTTGATCAAAGATGATGTATCAAAGCATTTGGGGTAGGACGGGTCACGCACGATCACCCATTAGGCGTTCTGCCGGCTATCCATAGAATGTTAACCAGCACTTACAGCCTTGCAACATATTGCATAGGCACTATAACTGATACCTAAGTATGCCTAGTTTTCAAATGCTAAAATGAGTGCTAAATTTCAAACCAACACTTCCTAAAAACCACAGTAAAAAGGTGTAAATTTAAGGAAGTTAACCGAGATCATTTCAAGTAAATGACCTTAACCTGAGTTTCACGTGACCTTGGCACCCACAACAATCAATGAGACAAACATTAGATAGTATATTTCACATGTTGTCACGTTGCTAATCACGAAACGACTATAGAAACACACAGATGTGCGCTGACTTTCAATTGCTATTCTGGCCTGACATGATCTTGAGAAAAATAATCACAGGTGAAAGGTAATTTGGTTCAGGGATATAAAATTCTCAGACAAGATGCAAAAATGATCAGGGCTATTTAATTTTCCGGGAAGTTGTAAAATTGATTAACTCCAGGGCACCAAAGAATCGTCGCAATCCTTCGCTTTGCCGCGATTTATTGGTGAAAAACAGGGGGTGCGGTCTACCTACCTCTACTTATATGTGTGGTGAGGGCTAATATTCATTTTATCTGTGTTATTAATATGCAACAATTACTACATGAACTGAGACCAGTCCATATGGGTACGTTTTTCTCACGGACAATGACAATATAAAAACAATGCGAATAAAACCAAACGTTTCGGACAACAACGTGCCTTCGTCAGTGGAGAAAAATAAGTGTATAGGTTTAACATCGATGAGAACTATATGCGGCACCGTCTCGGTCTGGCCAGCCGGGTTGTCGATAAAATACACAAATGTTTATAAGCTTCCATGATGTGCTTAAAAAAACTGCTGAAAATATATCTCTAAAAATAAAACAAAAATAACTACTTCATCGATTTTATCGAAAGAAAACATATATGCCTAATTACTTATTTCTTGCCACTGACGGAGGCACTTTTTTGTGCGAAACGTCTGTTTTATTCGTATTATTATTGTATTGTCATTCCCTGTGAGAAAAAAGGATAACTCATCAGTTAGTAACCATAACAGCGAAACGGCTTAATGTAACACAATTCACATGTGTATACGAAACCTATAAGTCCCTAAAAATAATCCTATTTACAAATTTTAAACAGATACAGCTTATACAGCTTAGGATTATAATTTTTTTCTGCATTAAGATAATATTCATTTATCTCCACAGAATATGGTAAATTAGTGCTGCTGAAGTTCGCTTTCGAAGCGTCTCCTCCAGGAATTCCACAGCTCTCGTGCCATTTTGGATCACGGAACATGGCTGGGCGCAGGACAGGCCGTCTGCGAGCTTGGACGGACCACGTGACCACCTCCTCCCCTCCCCCTCACTCCCGTCCCCTTCCCCAGCAGGGCGTCCGATCTAACCGCGCCCCAGGCAGTCGGCTCGGTCCGACCCTCCCCTGGTCGAGCCACGGCCCGGTGCCGCCTGAGTTTGTGCCGGGTGCAAAACTGGAGCAGTAACTAGCGCCGGAACTAGTAGTCAGCACGACCATCGTCAGATGGCAGGAGTAAACGGAATAAGCGGTTCCAGGTTTCAGAAGGAATGGGGCAGGAAAAAGCGCTGAAAACAATGTTTTGCTGATATAGCCATAAAAAGTTCACTGAATTAGGAGAGCAGCACATCAGTTTAAAGCCCTTCAGATGGTGGTTTTAATAAGCACACAATCATTTCCCAATTCGCCTCCAACGGTGTCACAGGCAAAGAATACGCTGAAATACTAGTGTGTACAGAAGCAACTGCGGGTCCCTGTACCCCTATCCGCAACCATTTTTAACCACCCTCCCAGGAGAAGTGCTAGGTCCCGTTGCGGTGTAGTCGTACTTGCTCTGAGCGGATATAACCGCTGTCAGCGAATAAGTCCGCTGAGAGCAGGGACGACTACACTGCAATGGGACCTTACTGTACTCCAGGGAGTGTGGTTAAAAATGGTTGCGGATAGGGGTGCCCGCAAAACACCGGTTTACTCGCGGGCCTTGGGTTAAATTGTTTTCAGTGTAAGACCTCGAAAATGAATCAGTCTTGCGGCAAGCGGTACCTAAATGATTTTGGAAATAGGTAGGAAAGGCTACAATTTTTTCAAAGGTCGTGCTCAGGTCAGGTCAATTATGACGTCAAAGAGATCAACTCAGTCAAGTTAGGGGCAGCATTGTATGATTTTTTTTTTTTGGCAAGAAACGTTTGAAATCATCAAGCTCAAGTTCAGTCAAGTCAAAATTATTGAATCATTTTGCCAACAGATTTCAGAAATGGCATTGGTGAATAATTAGTCCTTGGTTGCCGGCTGACACTGGTGTCTCTGCCTGTTTGCAGCTGGTCGGGCGGTGCTGGGCCGCCAGTCAACATGTACCCGGCCGCTGCCAGACTCCAGGGACCCTGCATCCTGCTGGTCCTCGGTGAGTTCACGACGAGGTGTTTGTGCTGTCCGTTTTACTGATACATATGTATTCATGTAGATTGTAAAGTATCCTAATTGTCATCAAGTATCACGCCTGCCTTTGAATATGGACCTGTAAAGGCTTCTATATTCGTTATCTTGCAATAACGATTTGGTTACTTTTACACAAACCATTAACTAAACCTGACGCAGCAATTATCAAAACATCGAAATCAGCCTGTTAAAGTCTATGTGTGGGACGAATAATTTCCAACTACGTGAATTCACCCACACTGTAAACCAAATCTACAAGTTGGCTCCTTGTTACAAGTTTGGTTCCAATTCGCATAGGCGTCACCTTGTCGATTCACCAGCCCCAGGCTTGTTGGCTAACAAACTAACAGTTTGTCTACAAGTTTGGTTCTAATTCGCATAGGCGTCACCTTGTCGATTCACCAGCCCCAGGCTTGTTGGCCAACAAACTAACAGTTTGTCTACAAGTTTGGTTCCAATTCGCATAGGCGTCACCTTGTCGATTCACCAACCCCAGGCGTGTTGGCCAACAAACTAACAGTTTGTCTACAAGTTTGGTTCCAATTCGCATAGGCGTCACCTTGTTGAGTACTAGTCTGGGCCTTGTGAACCTACCAACTTCTGGATAGGCATAGCCGTTTCCTTGTCGGTTCAACAACCCCTGGTTTGTTGATGAACTAGCCTTTGACTGGGCATTGCTAGTTTACAAATTGTCAACAAGTAAGTGTACTAACGCTCAGTTCGAACTTGTTCTTCCTTACAATCGCTTTGTTTGCGTTGATAACCTTAAGAACTTACGATTCGCGTTCGTTTTCAATTGCCACGATACTGATTCAGGAAATATTTTCTATACGGACAGGTCATTTTTTGGCTGGAAGTGGTGCACAAAATCATGACTGGCATCAGTTATTGCTCAAAGGCTTGCGCTGACAAGAAACGAAATACTGATGGGTTATATAATCGATGAATGCATACACCACATCCATTCGGAAGTTTCTGGAATCATTAGTATTTATTACGGTCACGTACCTACATCACGTAGTATGTAATTAATACTATTGACTGGAGACAATTCCAAGTGCATATTTTCGAATGGATGTGGTAAATGCATGAGGTATAAGGTATACCTATCGTGCACCGTCAGCATATAAGTCTTTGAAGCAAGAACTGCTGCGTATGTGGAAGAACATGGTTTTGTGCATCGCATCAAGCCAGAAGTATAACATGCCCGTATGACGAATATTTCCACATTGACCATAACAATCATGGCAGTTGCACGATCACGCAGATAATTCGAATAAAGCATGATCGCCAACCAGATTAGCTTTTACAGCCCATATATGTCCATCAGTTAAGTTAAAAATACAAAGAGTTGAATTAAAGGCAAATAAATGTATTTATATATAAAAAAACACCGACCGCAAAACATCTGCTCACATGTGCATGCAAAGGTCTGGCCCACTTACATTGCGCGCGCAGGGGAAGGGAGGCGTCTCGACCGCGGGTATAGGCACGATTAGTGCGTCCCGCAGGCCAGAGCGGGCCTCACTCACAGCACGAACACCACAGTTCACAGATTTCACTTTTTACTGCACAAATGCTGGAACAGCCCTCGTCGCTGATCCATGCTGCTCGGCGGCCGCGCGACAACTGCTGGTTTGAACGGTTTGAAACCGCCGCGCCGGGGCCGGACGGCGACCGCTGATTGGTCCGCCAAGTCTGACGTCACGGGCGCAGCTGACCATGTGTATGCTGACCAGCTGACCAGTACAAGTTAGGTGCCGGTTAAATAACCATGCGGCAACAAGTTTCCAAAACTGGTTAAGAAACAAACGTTGAAACAAATGTAGAGTTGGTCTGGATACTGAGAAGCTGGTGTGCATAGTAACTATTGACTCGTAGTTGTCATCTGACAAGCAATGCACCAGACAACGGCTTGTTTGAAAAGTATCAGTTGGTAAACATACCAAGAGATGATTGGTTATATTACACAAGACTTGTCAATTTGGTTTACAGTGCAACTTTGACTTCAGAATTACCCGACGGACTGGAAGCTGCCAATCAGTTAGTTGAGTGTAAAATAGTCTCCTCTGATTCTCACCAAATCCGACTACTTCAACAATCAGCCCATTCAAAACTTGCCAATGAATTATACACTGCTTTACCCAAAACTTCAATTATACGATCCGCTTGAATAAAACAATACGTTGACGACACAAGGATCCACGAATAATAGGTACCTAACTCGCTGCAAAGTTCACAGTCTTACATCCTTGCTAGTACCATATTATACGCACGCCGAAAGCGTCGCTGGTTCCAAGACAACCAAATCTCCAAGTCTCTCGAGCCCACCTTCCGCTCCGGGAGTGTCTGACCAAATCCCAGCTGCACTGGCTGCGCTCCTCTCGTTTGTCCGGTCACGCACAGGCAGTAACTATCTGTTATGCCAGCCGGAGAACTGGGTTAGAGAGTGGCCAGCCGGGCGGAAACGGTCGCACATTGTGCCCGACGGCCGCCGTCTCATTAGCAGATTCTTCAGCCGCTTTATCGCCGGAAGCTGAGATTTAGGAAAACATGTGGAATGTAGGTTGTAAGACTGAAAGGAGGCCATTTAAAACGGCCAAATAACGTATGTCTTGGCCATTCATGAGGCTGATGTTTTTATTGGAATTTGTGTTGACTAAGCAGCCGGAAACGTTGGGGTTTTAACATTTTTAACAACTATTTATAGTGAACACATATCAGCCACCACTTTGAGAAACTTATATCCAAAACATTGACGTCAAAATAGCTAGCATTACAAATTTTGAATTGAACACACCTGCAATTAGTAGTATTTTATTGATTTCATGGACTTCTTGTTGAGCAAATTATTCTTTTAGGTATATCATACAATAAAGCTAAAAAACATTCCTTTATTAGAGCTTCCACTCATTCTGATAAATTTCAAATTGTTTTAGTACAAATAAGTAAACAACAAAGCAAATGCTGCCAGACGCTGAGGCCATATGAGTCCGAGAACTCTGCACTGGTTTTCTGGCCACCGGACTGCCATATTTCCGTGTAATTGGGCCCCCGGGTGAAGAAGTGTTAACACCAACGCCAGTTGTGGTCACACAGCACTGCAGAGAGCCCTGGCGGCGGATTGGGCCGAGCAGGCCTATTTTTCATCTACGGATGAGCAACGTCCATATTTAGGGCCGAATTTCGTGTGCGGTAGCGGTGCCCCAAAAATATTTGGATTTCATTTCAGTGACAGAAATAGCAGCTAATAAATGGACGCCACTTGTTCTAAGATGTGGGCAGTGGTTAGCTCCTTGTCAAATGACCAGTTGACTGAATCGACTTCCAGCGCCCTTAAAAACTAAAGAATGGTGACTTGGTCGGGAATCATTGCTTTGCTACACAAGTACACATTAAACTTTTCCCCCGATTTTAGCTGCAATATAGATATGTTAAATCAATTTTAGCTTGTTTATCATGTTCTACGAACTATGATTTATTACAACATAGAATGTTGTACCACATGTCGTCTACGTTGCTTATGATCTGCATAGCCATCGACATTCTGAACTTTAGTGTTGGATAATGTTAGGTATGTATAAGAAAACTGCAAACCACCCAGAAAAAACAGCCTGTGTTGGAGCACAGACGTGTTACCAGCAGCGATAGATGACCTTGTTTTCAAAATGAAATGGTCTCACACTCAACACTAAGTGCCTGTGCTGAATGTTCTATGTGTTTTGGAGTAAAGCAATTTCAAAGGATTTTAAGGTCATTTCCGGGAGCCATTTTCGGTAAGGCATGTTTGCAGTGCAGTTGAGTGGTCAGTTCTAATCCTCAGCAGTTCTGTTCAGTTGTCCACAAGAATAATCTTCTGGCAGTGTAGCCCACCCACGAGCCCTCGGTCCGATCAGTCTGCGTCGTCCGCCACCCGGCTCGCTCCTAGCTGGCGAGTCGGGTCCTGCGGCACAGTATCACCGCAGGCGCTCCAGACTCCAGAGGAAGGCTCGAGTCCTGCGGTACAGTATCACTCCAGGCGGCTCCAGCTGACGGCTCGAGTCCTGCGGCACAGTATCACTCCAGGCGGCTCCAGCTGACTGCTCGGACTCTGCGGCACAGCATCACCGCAGGCGCCGGATGACAGAGCCATCTACCGGCAGGAGAGGAGTTATTATCGGTGACTGGTCCTCGGCTCAGAATCAATAGCCATGGTTCCGGGGATGTTTCACAGAAATACCACGGCAATAAATTGAATATCGCGGGGCCCGGGGCACAACTACCAGTAAAACCGTTGTTCTTCATACCGTCTGATCCAGTGCATGCCTTTCAGCCTCACACAGGAATGCGTATTGCGCATTCCACCTCGGCCAGCTCATGTTCGCTGTTGTTCATCCTCTGTCGCAGGTTATGATCCACCCATCATCTCCCTCTCTTCTTCATCTTCCCTCCGTTCGTCAACACAAGCTCTCCGGTGGCGGCATCACGCTCAGCTGAGACCGCAGTGGGGCGGAAACTCGGCTCGTATACACCATAAATAGCCATCCGACCGGACAGTAGCTGAGGCGCTGTGTCTCGCCACATCCCCCTCAAATAATGGCCTGCACATAGAGCCGCCCGCCGGACTTGGCACGAAGATAATACTGTGGACGGCAGTGGCTGCATCCTGACATAGCGTGGGTAGGTAACAAATGATGGCGTATGTATGTTACGGCCCGTTTGAAAACCCGGCCCGTATTAATGCTGCCCGGCCCGCATTAATACTGACCGGAGACCTGGCCCGTATTAATACGGCCCCCGGTCAGCATTAATGCGGGCCGCCTGGCGGTCAGCATTAATACGGGCCGGGCAGTATTAATACAGCCCACTTTTTTCCTCACGGCCATATGAAAACTCGGGCCATATCAAAACTAGCCAACTAGTCTCTATTCCATGTCTTAGCAAATGCTGCGTAGGCTTGCAGTGGTCTTAACCCTCGCATGTGTA